GTTGTCCACTACCTTCCCGCTTCCGAGAACCGTGATAGCTTTAGCTTGCTCGGGTTGGCCGGGCAACTTCCCTTTGTCAGATTCGGTCTCCATGTGCCCGACCCTAGTGGCCAGTTAACCACTTGTGTCTCAAGACGCTTGATGGATGCATCTTGATTCGTGATAAACTGGAGGATCTTGTCGAGCTTGTCGTCTTGGAGGGATGAACTAGGGCCAGCTTCTGGTCCTCTCTGCTGCTGCTGCTGCTGGTAGTTCGGATGGGGAACGAAGTTGGGTCGAGGTTGCTGCTGCATGAAATTCGGACGGGGTTGCTGGAAGTTCGTGTTGTTGGACCAGGAGAAGTTGGGATGATTTCTCCATCCCGGGTTGTACGTGTTTGAAAATGGGTCATTGCCAGGCCGGGCTTGGTATCCCTGTAAAGCGCTGGCATCTGCATACTGCTCACCGAACTCCTGATCGAAGGCTGAAGGGCACACTTCAGACCTATGCCCTGGGACTCCACATGCCCCGCACGTGTCAACGGACATGGTCTGAACCGGCTGAGCTCCTCGTGCGTTAAGTAAACGCATTTGCTCTGTGAGCTCGACTAACTGTTGGGCCATCACATTGTTGTCCTGCCCGACCTTGTTTACATTCACTCTCTTCCCTCGGCTGCTCTTCTGCGACGAATTCGTGCTCATCGTCTTGAAAATGTCGAACATCTCTTCAGCCGTTTTTGCTCCGATATCTCCCTCTGCCCATTGTCAACCATATACTGCAAGTTCTGATGGACGGAGTCGTAGAAGCAGTTGATTAATAGCCCCGGAGAGAGGTTGTGATGAGGGCACTGCCGCTGGAGATCCTTGAACCGCTCCCAAGCCTCGTGAAGAGGCTCGTTCGGTAGTTGAGCAAAAGAGACGATTTGCGACCGGAGCTCCTGGGTCTTCTGATGGGAGTCGTACCTCCCAATGAACTTCGTGTATACTTCGGTCCAGGTAGTGAGCGAGTCCGGTGCGAGGGTCATGAACCAAGCCTTGGCCCGGTCCTTCAGCGTCTCAGGAAAACACCTCATCTTCAGTTGCTCTTCTGTGAGCCCTTGGAGAGGGAAGGTCTGTAGCACATTGTAGAATTCCCGAATGAAGTTAAGCGGGTCTTCATTCGGGAGCCCGTGGAAAGATGACAGTTGGTTGTAATGGATCATCTTAAGCTCGTAGTTCCGAGCTTCTTGTGGCAACCAGATGCATGACGTTATCGGCCCAATTGTCGGATGGGCTAAGTCTCGAAGGAGATCGCGGTGTTGTAGGGCCATGTCTGGCTTAGTGGTTTCAAAAGATTCGAGGCTGAGTTTGTCGAACAGCTCCCTTACGCTCTCGTGACTTGGTTCGTCGTTTGGTCCTATGATACGCCCACTCATGGTACGCATACACAAAGACAAAAGAAACCATCACAAGCACCAGATAAACAAAGGAGAAAGCTAAAGAAAGCAAGAGTTACTAGACTAAACTAAAGAAACAAAGAGAAACACGAAAACAAGAAAAATCACAAGAAATAAGAGAAAAACTAAAAAAAAAAAAGAATAGGTGCACAATTATAGTTCTAAACCTTCCCCGGCAACGGCGCCAATTTTGTTGTCAGTATTTTTACCAGAGTTGAATCAAAAGATTCGTTCCTCGGGTCGTATCGCAAGGAAGGTTAGCCGGATATTCTTGTGCGTATATTCAATCACGAAAAAGAGAAGAAAAGTTCCTAAACACTCTAATTCAATATTTTTGGGTTTCAATTATCAACTACTGATTTAAACTAAATAGAATGAAAGTAAAATAGCAAACGGATACTCTGAATGATTAAAGAGCTAGGGAATCGGAGATAATTTCTTTCGGTTCTATCACAATTACCGTCAATCAATTGCTCGGTAAAAGGACTTGAATCGTTTCTCGTTCAGAGGTTCACTCTCAATAACTCTTCGTAACAAGAGAGTGAACGTTAACGATCAACTATCAATTCCAACAACACATAGATTATACGTTTCTGAATAAATCTATTCTAAACGAGCCTAATTCGACCAGCGTCTCCCTTCTCGGTTCTACACATTGATTATCTAGGTTAAACAGATGATCAATCTACTAACCCTAGAATACACACAACTCGAATAGACATGAACAATCAAAAGCGTTCAATCTTTATCGAACCTAATCAATCATCCCCTATCCCTAGCGAATGGATTTAGCTAATCATATGGAATTCAACATCAAAATTCATACAAACCCTAGCCATCATCATCAACAAAGCAATTGAGAAAAAGAACTTACGATTAATAGTGAGAATCCCAATGTCAAATCCAATGACCAATCCAAAGCCAAAGCGAAGAAAAGGAGTTCTTCAATCTCCAAAACAGATCAAAAGTGCAAAAGTATGAAAAGGAATGAGTTTCTCTAGAGAAAAAACGTAAAAACAAAGTCTGGAAGTCGAATAATGAACCCTAGGATCGAAATCTGCTCTAAGAATCCCGTCCTCGAAATTTGCGCCGGTTAAGTCGCGAGTCGCGACTTAAGATAGTCAATTCCTCGATCGCGAGTCGCGCGTCGTAAAAAATCTCAAACTTCTGGGGTTGGTCACGACTTCCTCTCGCGAGTCGCGACTCGTTCTTCGGAAATCCTCTTAAGCCCCAGTTTTTTCCGCGAGTCGCGAGAAATTCTGGGCGCGTGTTTCTGTCCGTTTTTCAGTCCTCTTCGTCGTCTTCTAGGCTCGGCCACGGAAATTCTCAATATCACGGTCTCGGCTCAAGCAGTCCCAACTCGACCGGCACAACCTATCTCCTGAAAACACAAAAATAAGGAAAAACACGAAGCAAAACACGGCAAAAAGACACACAAAAGGAAACTAAGGAGAAAAACACAAAACGAACGAAATTGACCAAATAAACCACGAAAAACCTACAAATGGGGGAAAGCAAAAAGAAAATAAACATGAAATAAAGACACAAAAATGGGACAAACAATAAACAATGTGCATATCGAATCTTAAAGTGTCTATAGCATTGATATTCTTTACTTGATAAACAAATAAATATCAAATGCTTTTTAACTAATCTAGAAATGGATATAAATCATCCGTGCAAATAATTTGTATAGTATAAGAAACTTATATTCACTTATATGAATGAATGCTATACTCATTTGATATCAAATGTTCTAAAAAATTGAGCAGATATACACTAAATCAATCTCGGGTAATTGAGTTATGGGTCAATGACACAATTGTGGTTGATCCTGAGTGACCAAGTTATGGGTCAGTTTAACCAGACCAAATCGATTATTGAACTAAATATAATTTTTAATATTAATAATACATTAGTAAAATAAATGTAATGTAGTTCATACTCCAAATAATCATATTAAGAATGCTTTTGTGACAACATGTTCAAGGAATTATGAACAATTATATTTTATTTTATTAATATTTATGTGAACAAAATGATGTTGCATTACAACTTTATTAATGTACGGTAAATTCAAAATTCTCAAAAGAGAACCGTTTTCAAATTGATCAAGCTATTTATTCAATGATTTATTAGTTGCATCAAAATTAAATTATCTAACCGATAAAAAAAATTAAAAATATATATATTTTAATATATATAGTACTTTAATAATAAATTTATTAAAAAATATTAATTAAATATATGAACAATTTAAAATTTTTCAATGCTTAACTAAATGATAAATAATTTATAAATATCCACTTTATTTAAATATGTATTTTTACTTATATTTAAAATAGTTTTAAATGTAACAAAAATTATTCAAAAAATCGTACCGTTACTACCAGTCTAACCGACTAGGGTTGACCGGTTCTCTAGCAAATATTTTATTCAAGCGATATACATTTATTTGGTATATATTTATTATACAACATTTATTTCATGATATACAGATGCAATGTTTTACAAGATACTTATGAGACAATGACTTTATGGTTTCTTATGCAATGACCGTAAACAAGAATTAGAGACAATCGTTATCCCAAACCAGAAACATTGTGTACAAGAAAGTATTCGATAATTTATAATTTTTTTTACCTTCTTTTCGATACATTTATTTTGTTACATATATATATAAATTATATTAATTTTAATATCTCACATGTTAAACATTCCAAAAAATATATTATTTCGTGTATCGCATGGACTACATGATAGTAATGTTATATAATGTAATAAAGTACAGTGGAACTACAAAGTAAGAACTCAATAATTTGCAAGACAAATGAAATGAAAAATAGTTTTATAGAAGAAAATCATTTGCACCCAAATCCACAATAGCAAGCCCGATGATTTTTCGGAAGCGAAAAAATTATAATGAACCGATTAATCAACTTTATGTCTCTCAAGGAAAACCTCCTTCTACTGTAGTAATTCAGATCTGATTTTGCTGCCCCCTGGCCAACCTTTGGCCACCGTCTCTAAAAAAGTTGTTTGGTACTTTGGAATATTATGTATCATCTCGTGTTCTTATCTACATGGATTGTCATCATTTTTCAATAATGTTATGTGATGTAATAAAGTACAATGGAACTAAAAAGTAGGAAATCAATAATTTGCAAAACAAATGAAAAACGGTTTAATAGAATAAAATCATTTGCACCCAAATCCACGATAGCATACCGGATGATTTTTCATTTTGAATGATCTTTCCTGTTATTGGCTCTAGTCGTTGCGTCGCTTATTTCATTTACGGCAATACTAGAGATATTGGTTACTTGAACTAACAAATTATCTAACCGCATACCACATGAGCAAAACAGTTTATTTTCACGACAGCTAAATTGCCTTTAAACAAAACCTAATATCCATACATAATGTAGAAACTGAAAGTGAATTCTTTCTAAAACATGACATGTAATGATAATTCCTCAAAACCAACGTGTTTGGAAACCCAGTGACTGACGAGACGGTGAGGCTTGTGTTCCCGAACCTAACGACAATCACAGCCACGAACAGAGCTGAGGTGGCCCTTCTCTACATGAACGCCGAGGAGAAATCCACCAACGTGAGCAAGTTCGTGCACAACCTCAAGGAAGCCTATGGCACGGGGACCTCCACCCTCGGCATGATCTACAACGCGACAGGTGGCAACCTCTCATTCGTCCTCAGCAACACTTGGGAGGGCGACACGTGGCGCTCCCCTTACCCTCAAGTTATCCAGAATGGGCAGTGGGCCGGGTTCCTCCATGTCCGGGGCCGCCTCATGGGCCCATCTAAGGAGGCAATCGTCTACAGGGGACAGAACAACGCCGCTGCCAACCGCGACTGGATGCTCTGCTGGAACACCACACGCATGAACTCCCAGAACAACGTCAGTAGTCGACTCTTTATTTTTTGCACACTCAATTTTTATTTTTTGGATCAGTGTTCACCAATCCAGATCAATCAGTAAAATGAAACTAATTGTGGCTTTAATTTGCCAGAAAACTGTTCCAAATATTTCTTATTTATCTAAGCATTTTTAACTCAATCACTTTTTTTAACTCTAACTGTCACTCAACCTCACTACAAATTGAGAAGCTCAAATACAGATACATACATATATGAGTGCACTTGCAGGTGTATGCTGAAGTCCGCACGGCTGGTTCTTTCGGTTCGGCCAATTGGAACACGGTCGACAATAACATGGACAGGAATACTAACAACTTTTCGACTACTATGAATGGAGGCTTTGCGAGCGTGTCAATTGGTGCCGGGAGCTCGCCTGAGTTCGTGGGGATAATGTCTTTGCCTGGCGTGGCCGCAAGGGCCTTAGCCATAGCACATGATATAAGTGAGATATTCCCGTCCCTCGACTCCAAATACGATGAGCTTGACGGCAAAGATGGTGGAGAAGAGCAAGATTCTGCAACTGCTGCTGATGATGATGATGCTGCTTCTAAAGCTGCTGAGTAATTATTGGAAACTGAACACTACTATATACATTTCTCTCTCCAATGGTTATGATAATAAAAGAACAAAGCGGTGGTGCAAGTGTTTTATATCAATAAGTTGCATATGGCAACTAGTGTTGGATTGTTTGATGGGCTAGCTAGTCTGAAAGGAGATGGTACTGTTTGATGTGTGTGTGGAGAGCATTATTGGTGGTTGTTATTTGTGACTTTTTGTTTGTTGTTGTAATATGGAATGTGAAATATAATATATTTTGTGTTTGAAATGTTTGGGCAGGTGTTATAATTTTACAACTATTTTGTATCCACAAACCAATTCAAGAAAAGATTATTTGTCTATTCTGTTTCAATCTCTAAAATACCAAGGCACTGTACTTTGACATACACAGGTAAAGACCAGCGTTAACAAATTCCAACTGTTCATTTGGAGGTCAACTAATTAAAAAAAACTAAAATAAAAAGGAAAAAGAAATGAAACGAATATAAGAGTGAAAATAATTAGTGAACTTGATAGTCGTCAATAATGAAATGAATTACTTGCGTAATTAGATAACACGCAGGTGAAGTGTACAAAGTCGTTATAGGATCTTTCATTTGCCTGAATACTTCTGCCGCGACAAGACTCTTCGAACTAACCGACCATCAGGAGGCTGCTACTGCTTTCCTTCTTTATCCTTGGGCCACTTTGCTCTCCTTCCTTTTTATTTCGTCGCACTTACCAGACTCTCTCTTTCATTTCCTCTTTTTTTTTTTCTTTTAAACAAAACCCGTAGTTAACATACTTTGGGGCTAATTAAAATCCAATTTCCGAGCCCAGCAGCTACTAACAAATTTGGGCCAAACTTAAGAAATGGGCTTAAAGACCCACTCTGACCAGAGCACACGACCTTCCCCCTTATATAAAATTATCTTTTCATATTGATCCTTAATTTAGATAAATAAATTGAGGTTTTGATAAATAACAATGTACCTAATAGAGAATTTAAAAGAGAGTCTTAGTATAAGAATCTCCACAACTCTATCCTAACTCAATTGTACAAGTCCATGTAATAATTATTATAAATAATAATTAGATATTATAAGTCTCCTGTAAATATACTTGTATATGACTTAATATGAGGAGTAAATTTAATATATAGAGCACTTAAGATATGCAATTTAATGTGGTGAAAATATATGATGTATATACTTATAGAAAATTCGAACATGAAATTTTTCATTTGTTTTTTCGTATTTTTTATACTGTATAGGTTTGAGTCATTATTAATATATTCCATAACTTGAGAAAATTAAACAATTCTAATTGGTAGCAAAGTTTGAAAGTACATTTTTTTTCTATTATATGAATGTGTGACGTTATTGAAGATTATATTGTTCTCTGCCTCCCCTACTAAATTTTTTTGGATCCGCCCCTGACCGCGACTTCTTGAATGCCCTGGCCATCACATGAAGATAGTTGCCTCCTTTCCTTCTTTTGATTTTTTTTTCTCTTTCATTTTATTTATTCTATAACGCGAGCCCTCTCCTGGCCCGCGTCCGACCGATCGCTAGAAGAACTCCTGGTTAATGTAAGAACAAGATGTTCAACCAAGTAGCTTGGAGAAGACGATGGAGGTTCCGTTGGACACGAAGGCACACCTGCACGCCCTCAATTTCGCAGTTGCCGCCGCCTATGAGTCTCGTCTACCGGACAATCGACTATCGATATTTTGAATCCCACCAACACTGACTCTGAAGGTCGCGATAACGATGATGGAGTTGTGACAGGAATCGGTGGAAGTGGCAGAGATGGGCTTGGAATGTTGGCCGACAATTGGCGTGACTTGTAATTCTCCAGGGGCTGCTGTTCGTTATGAGAGGGAGCGTCGGCGGTAGATGATGGTGGTAGTGGGCCTCGGGGATGGTCACGTCGGCGAGGATGGTGGCGGTGGGCGAGTGTGAACTGGGCTGAAATTGTATGTGTGTGTGGTCGAAAAGTGTGCGTGTGTTAGGGATGCGGGGTGGGTGGGTATAGGGTGGAGCCCACAGAGTTAGTAGGTAGATATTAATTATGCCTATTGATTATATTACCCTTAGTGTGGGTAAAACCCAGTGTTCTAGAAGTCGTTAGGCGCCCGCTAGGCGCTCAACCAAGTGCCTAGGCGGGCCCTAGGCGGCGACTAGCCGGGGCCTAGATATTAAGATTAAATACCTTATTTTTTTTATTTGTTTCCATTACATACAAAATAAAATTATCTCAACTTATAATAAATCAACACACCTAAGTCTAAATAATAATATTAACATATTATAAATAAACATGTATCAAAATAATGTAATTAGTATTTTAAAAATAAATTAAAAAATTACCACGGAGCCCGCCTAGGACCGCTGAGCTGCCTGGCCGCCGAGCCCGGCAAGTCCTCTTATGAGTGCCTAGGCCCGCCTAGCCGCCTGACCAGGGGCGGATCTACATATGGGCTAGCCTAGGCAATTGCCTAGGCTCAATTTTTTGTGCTAACTACACATAGTTAACATGTGTTAAAAAAAAAGTATATTTAATTAATAAGTGTAAAAATATAAATACAAGTTTTTATTTTAAATTTTTAAATAATTCTTATAAAATAACATTATTGTTTCTATTTAAAATGATACACCTCATCAATCATATTCGATGATATTATATTATAACGTTTTTAGCATAGTTTTTAAACCCGACCCGGTGATCGACCCGGGCAGGTCCTCGGGTCACCGGGTCACCGGTTCAACCGTCGGGTCACCGGGTCAATTGCTGAACCGGATAATTAATTTAAAAATTTTTAAAATTATATATAGAGTATTTTTGTTATATAAATATACATAAACGTAACAAATTAAATGTTTTGTGTATAAAATTTGTATATTAAAGTGTTAATAATATGTATTTCATGATAAATATTTACCATATAAACATATATACATATTTTTATTTTTAAAAAACAAAAAAATATAAAAAATATAAAAAATATATGGACCGGGTCAACCGGGTTGACCCGGCCGGGTCAATTCCCCGGGTCGGCCGGGTTTTGACCGGGTCCTTGGTTGCCCGGTCAAAATACTCCACCCGAACCGGTTCTGGCTCCGGGTCGACCGGGTCCCGGGTCGACCCGCCAGGCCGGTCCGGGTCTCAAAACACTGGTATTTAGTACTTATACCAGATAATAAGCTTAGATAGATAAATTTATTGTCTTTCAATTATAATTGATAAATATTTAAATTTTTATTGATAGAGATTAGATAGATATAATTAAAAAATTTAATTTATATATACAATATGAATGTCAAATTATACATTGTCAAAATATGACTTATTAAAGTATCATATATAAAAAAATGATAATATATACAAATGTTATTAACTTTTAAAATGTATTTACAATTTAAGTTACCCAAGCGTTTCAACTTGAAAGTTCTAGATAAAAATTCATATTTATATGTACTATTTCGAATCCTTAGAACATAACATATAGAATTACAAAGTGTTGGAAATTGACAAAGAAAAATTCTACATTTATATATAAGAAGATAATCCATAAGGAAATATTTATAAAATAACAAGTTAAAAAATAATTTAGGCTTTTCTTGAATTAATAAATTATATTTCAAAATGACTTGTTTATTTCTTATTATAAAAAAAGAATGAAAAAGGATTGTACAATATTTTTGGCATATTTCTTAATAATAATAAAAACGCAAAATAAAATAACCAGATAATTTCAGTTTATAGCATCAAGTTAAAGGCAAATTGAATAGGGAACCCCTCAACACCCGATTGTTTCAACAGTTAATTTAATTGTTAATATAAGTACATTGCGCAATATGGTTAAAAAAAGTTCGAACTATTTTTTTTCCTGTCTGATAAAAATTTCTTGATCTGCCGTTGCGTCTGACCTATTTTTTCAACCGATTTATGTAAATCGGAAGCGGCCGGGCAACACTTAGGGGGTGATTGGATATGAATTCAACTAGTAAAGAACTAGTTTTTTTTTTTAGCTATAGTTAAGTTTGAAAAAAAGTAGTATGGTTAGTTGTTAGTAGATATATTAAAATAATATTTAAATTAAAATAATTAAAGTTGATTTGATGTAAAAGTAGGAGAAAATGATTGGAAGTGATGGTTAGTTAAAATTATGTGAGCGGGTGAATAGTGAATTAAAGTTGATGCGATGTGTAATAATGATTGGTTGATATTATTTAATTATATTGATAATATTGGAGATAGTGGAGTTGAATTAAATTTGAGTTTTGAGTGAATATTTACTGTACAAATTATATACAATCACGCCCTTAGCGTCTAGAGGGCCGCCTAGGCCGATTTTTAGTACAGTGGTGAAATCTACACATTTGATCATGATATGTACCTTTATTTATCCTGATGCCACTGCATGTTTGACTGACATTATTAAAGTTTGACTTGATCATGACCGTTGAATAGATAAATTCAATGGTATAGATTCATTTTTATTTCTTTCACTATCTACCGTTGTGATATGATTCTAATTCTAACTCTCTCTATATATGCACTTTATGCTTATGCTTGGGATCACATGTGAAGAAATATATTAAATTTTTCATTATGCATGAAGAGATAAAATAAAAAAATAGTATTTTAATAAAATCATATAAATTGGTTAAATTTCTTTCTGGTCTAATTTTTATTTTTTGTAGCGGAGTTAGGGTGGTCTTTTTCTGAATTTATTTTTAGTCTTGTTTAAGTTTTGAGTCTTATTAGCATTTAAGTTAGAAATTATAATGGAACAAATCAGCTCATGAGGATACATGTATGGATGGGGACAAAGATGGAAGAAAATTATTACAGACTGTAAAAAGCAAGAAAAGGAAAAGACAAAGGACAATAATTACAGCTTTTTCGTAGTACAGCAGTAAATTTTTCTCCTTGGGAAAACGGGACTCAAAAGGTAATCACACTTTTCACCGACCGTCACTCACACAAAAAGGGAAAAATCTTGGCACAGAAGAAAAAAAAAAAAAGAGAAAAAAAAGAAGAAAAGGTATTCCTAGTTGATACTTGATACCAGTGCGTGTTTTGTGTGTGTATGCGCATTGAAGGTCAATCGACCCTTTTTTTTCTGTGACACCTTTTTTGGTCGTATGCATATGTGGGCTTCGAAGACTCCACATAGCATTGCGGGTATTATCTTCACTTGGCCCCTTTTTATTTCCTCTCTCTTTTTCTCTCTCTTGCATTCTCGTTCTGTGTCCTTGAGCAGCGAAATAAAACAAAAATTCATTTTGAATCCGTTTTTGATAAATCTCTCTACCTGTCTTTATTTTGTTTTTTATTCCCAGCCTTTTTCTTGTAGGACATATGAGAAAAACCAAGCTTTTTGGCAAAGTCAATCATGCAGATAGACATATTTGGATAACCGATAAACCAAAAATATGAAAAATTCATCCTTTGAAAAAAATAGGGTTTTATTGAGTCTTCTTATTATTTTATTTAAATTTTTATGTAAGCTTCCCTTTTATATTTTCTGTTGTCCTTTGATTTTCTGCAATCTTCTTAAAAAGGGTT